CAGGTTTAAAGCTTTACATTATTTTGAGATCATCAGCGTACAAGTATGGTCTTCCGAATTGTATAGTATTACATATATCGTTTATATACATAAGGGACAAGACTGAGCCTAATACACTCCCCTGGATGACTCCATATTTATTGGTCTAGGTGATGAGAGAGTCATTGTACTTTACCGTTTGTTTACGTTCTGTTAAGAATGAAACAAACCATGAATATAGTGGTTTTTAGAATTATGGTCTGCTATGATATTAGCGCTGCTCTAATAATAGAATTAATCCTAAAATTGTAGATTTGCCATGACGTGACTACCTAACCTACAGGATATTACGTGGATGTCACATCAGTATTTACCTTGACTCATTCGCACTGTAATAACCATCAATATATGATGAAGAACACATTTACACTGGAGATAGAACAATATATTTAAAATAGATAAAAGACTGTTACATAAGTAGGATCAAACGTGCAAAGCCGAGCCACCCTACCCGACTAACTCGGGCTAATTGAATTAATTCTTCTCGTCTTCTCCATTGTTGGGTTTTTCTCCGCTTTAAATGATGAATATCTATTTTCCTAGTCGTCTCGTGTTCATCTTTGAAAATTGTGTGTTTACGTCTCAATACCACTATAGGTTAGCTGATTCCAAGTGACTTTAGTTTGACGAGAAGTCTTTTGTGTGGGACCTTATCAAAAGCTTTCATAGAGTCTAAGAGTAGTACTGACACAAGGAATCCGTTGTTCCGTTTCAGTTACATCATCCAGGTAGATTACTGGGTACGTATCGCGTAATCTAAACCTAAAAAATCCATGTTGGGAGGTCGAGATGTGATTATCGGTAAGTAGATTTTGAACTAATGTCACATTAATTATGTTTTCCATCACTTTGGATACCACCAAGGTTATGTTTATGGGCCGGTAATTTTCAACATTTGCTTCAGGTATTGTCTTGATTTGGGAAATGATATGTGTGGTTTTCCAGGAAGTGGCGTAACACTCTTCAGAGAGTGAAATCGCGGGGGAGTTATTGTTAAGTTTGATAGCACATCTTTTCTGCGCGACTGTTTTTTGTGAGTATTGCGTCTGCCTGAACAAATATTTATGTTATCGTAACTAAAGAGGAAAAGTCATTAAGGTTGTGGAATCGAGTACAATGTCTTTAATGATATTGACCGGTACATACAGATCTCTAGACGACTTAGGTTTCCGGCATTCTAAAGGTGGAATTTTGTCGAAGATATTTATAATTTTGTGGTAGAATCTATTAGTTATTTTGTCGGTATCGTTTACATTTAAAAAGGTTCCCCAATCAGTACTTCTTAGGTAATTTTGGAAGTTCTTCCAATCTACTTTGTGATAGTTTCTACGATGTGTTACGGTTATGCGTCTACCGGTTGTGGTATTTATATTGAGACTGAACATGCCAATGTTATGATCACTACCTGGAAACGTTTTTCCAATATACACAATTTTAGGGTTGAGGCCACTGGTAAGAACTAAGTTCGAGATATTCTTATATCTGGTAGAGCTACTGACATCGTCAATCCCCGTCGAGGAAAACGGATGCATATCAGTCATCCGAAAGCCATGGCTGACCCATGCGGGAGTGGTCACGCCTACGGTAACCAATATATATTTCTATAACAACGTCCTTTGTGTTATGAGGTTTTTAAAGCAGCGACAGTAACTTAATATGACGAAAAGAAAAACTACGTTCGGTGCTGACCGCGAGGTGTGACTTCAAAGTTAGCTATTGATCACACTGCCCGTCTGACTCAAGTAGATCCCCAATAATTCGACGGAGATCATGAACATTGATGATCTACAACTGCGAACTTGTTGCTTGAAAAACATGACATGTTTGTTAGGTCACGAGTTAGAAATTGTGTAAAATAACGTTGAGCATTCTAGGTTGCAGTATTTGGCTGTTTTAGGTGAATCACAAAAAGTAATAGATGATGTTTAGCCAAACGATTTGTGGCTGGATTTATTTGTATCTATGAGCAAGGTAGTTGTCTCCAAGTGCTTGGTGTAAGTCTAATGTAGCTGTAGAAAGGCCGAGGTGGGATACGGATTAGTGTGGTTATGTAACATATTATCTATTTTAATGACGAATTATAGTCATTCGCATGTGCCGTAGGCATAAGGCGATATTATGCTTTTTATAAGACCTGGACATAATATAAGTGTCGATAAGAGTAAGGTGTGAATTAACTGAATGGCAAACGATCTAACTTAGTAGATGATAAATATTTGATGGTTGGAACAAATACAACTTCGTTATTAGGTAATATCTGTACGTTAGTGAACGAAGAGAACCGTTTGAAACCCTATGGGCTAAGGGTATGAAGTTCTATGCTAAAGAAAAATGTCACTTTTACGAAAATATTATCTAAGCATAATATTTGCTGCTGATATCATATGCTAACTTTGAGTGAGAAGAACCGGAGAGGGTTAAAGGAAAACCCACATTTAAAAATTTTGCAACATCCATGATATGGATTAACAATGTGTGTAGGATGCATTTATGCACGTGATAGGGTTTTTGGTTAAGTATTATGGACCATACACATTCATAGTAAAATGGGTTTAGCAGACAAATATGTCGTTAGTATACATGAAGAGTGCGTAAGCTGAATTACCAGCCAGTTGTCATTAGCGAATAATTTATTGTGTTTTGGTAAGGTTCTTTCTCTCAGCATCCCTGTAATTTCTACTATTTTCAACTACTCTCAAACATCACATCCTCCAAATTTACTGATCATGTTTGGATAGCATCAGTTATTCTTCAAACTATAGACACATTGATGTGAAGCTATATATATCAATTGAATTTTACTTGTAGACTAAAATGTCCCTCGTGTGGCTGATGGTTATTCTGTGGTAGATTATTATTAGATGTAATGAAGGTAATGGTTAAATATTCAATTCAGACAAATTTTACTTTATGAACATGCTCACCCATAAAACGCCAGTAACTGTTCGCGTCTTCGCTGATAACTGCTCTCCTCTTGTCGAATCAAATAAGCGTGGCCTAGGTCTGCTTTTAAAAAAGTAACAAAACTCAATCCTCACCTTTTTAGATCTAGCTAGAGTTTTTTCTGCTCTATTTCTCTCCCACGAAACTAAGTGTGTTTACTCTTAAACTACTTTGAACGCTATTCCAACGTCATATTTGGCCATATTTCGGAAATCATGATACGGTTTTATAATGTTTTTTAAAAATGAAGCCAACACCTCGTGGAAAGCCCATGGACACGCAGAAAAGTGACCACATGGGAGCCCAAAAGTAGGAAACTGCCTCTGTTATGTGAGTGATGTTATCTCAGTCTACGACGTACTGAGTGGTCCAGACCATCTCAACAAGGTAATCCTACCAGAAGGATACGATATAGACACAGGAAGCAATCTTTACAGAGTTGCACGTCAAACGGTATGCATCATAGTGAGAATTCGGGTTTATAAACTACGAGTATTTGACATTTGACAAATTCTCGTTACACACTTGTAGCTCATACAGTAGGCTGCATCAAATGACAGCTATATGATTCAGTGAAGAGTCACGGACTACCTTTAGAAAGATTGACAATCAAGCGAATGGATAAAATAAAACGTCAATACGAAAATATCATGTATTTTAAGGCTTGAATTCAAGACTTTATTTTAAATTACTCTTTAAAAACAATTTTACTCGACTGAATGAGCAGAATTATACATTGCATGTCATACTATGCCTACACAACGACTTGTCAGGGCAATTCTGAAAATTTAAGCGACTTCCTGTTCGTCTTTGATTTAAAGATATTATGAAAATTGGGAACTTTGATAAAGCCATTTTCCGTAACACCTTGGTGATCGAAGGATGAGAACCTAGTCAAATCAGAAGTCAGGAATGAACAAATTTGAAAGTATATTTGGAAGGTTGTAGCTGTGTTGAGCAGCATTCAATTTGAGCTGACAAGCAGTTGCGAAGGATGAGTAGCATGGTGTGCTCACACGTGATCTGGTACGGATGCGTGGTCGAGCGCCTTCAGCTAGGGTGCGTCCAGTAAAACTAATGAGGTCGGCTTCAATGTCAAAGTGTTACAAAACCGCATACTTCGGGGAGCGGTGTTATTTGTCACTACGGATAGCTTCATATTGTGCTGTATACCAGGGATATGTGATGAGCAACATGCATGTGAAAACATGAGGGAGTGATGAGAAAGAAATGATGCAGACCGATGACTAAGTACGTCCATACAGATCACGATAGACAGTGGTACAGGAAAATTAATAGCATTATAAGAATTCAAACTTTTCAAATATTATGATAGCCTGATATAGTCAACTGGACAACCTGTGAATGGTGTAGAGAATTTAGACACCAGTAATCTACTTACTCTGTGAAAAACTTTCCACTGTTTTAAAAAAGAATTTGTCTTTAAGTACTCACCAAAGCCGCCAAAACAAAAGAGCAGTACGATAAATGACAAAAATGATAATAGCTACTGTGAAATGAATTTCGCTCGTAGGCTTCTTCTAATATAACAACCACAAACGGAGTTCACTCATTTAAAGAAGGTTCCTATGCACGGATGGCACCAGCTGTGTGAAGCGAAATATAGACCCGATAGTGTTACTGAATGATTATCGAGGCTAAGACTAATACACAGTTTAGAGCAGCCTAAGATCGCCAATAACAGGCAATGGTCGGTAGCGCGAAAGAATGGACAACGAAGATAAGATTTATTTGAATATCAGCAATAGACGTTGACTAAAAATTTGGTTAGGCAAAGAGTGTCACAAATAAAAAAAAACGTGTTCCTTATTTTCGCTGTTACAAAAATCATTTGACACAGAGTTCACTATATACTCCTGCGGATGAATGGCTATGTTAGCCTCATAGCCTTATATAAAATGAGTAAAGTAGTCGATTTAAGTCAATACAGTAACTCAGACTACCTAGCTGATGTATCTCAGGTCGTAATAAAGATATAAGACATTGTCAGATTGAACACAATTAGTTGCGCGATACGAGTCAAGTGCTGCATGTCAGGTTTAAGGAAACCAAGGCTACCAACACTATTCCAGAGGTAGGTCCCTTGTTTTTGTGATTATTAGTACTCAGTGATATAGATAGGCGTAGAACTGCTAACTTTTGTTACCGATTATAACTGAAAATGTCAGCACTTCAGTATATACCTTTCGAAACAGTAGTAGACACCTCCTTCTGGCATGGTTTAGCTGATCGGAAGCTCAATGAATATCGTCTTTCCGAAGGCCCTTTTGAAATATCAGCACAGTGTACAAACAGTCATGCTCCTGGTGTCTCTCCCAGGCTATCGATTGACGTCACGTCATTTTGCGATAGTAATGTCAAAAGAAGTCATACATCAACGAGCTTCAACATTTATGGAAGTCTATTTTCCCTAAATAGCTTGGATGAATTTAAGGACGTTGATAAACAGTGTTTGCTGAATGAACACGGTGCGAAATTTATGGCCAAAGCTATTTCACAGAATGAATTTTTGAGGAAGCCCGATTTACTTCTCCGGTTCATCCTTTTGACATACTGTGACTTGAAAAGATACAAATTTTACTTTTGGTTTGCTTTTCCTGCCGTCTTACATTCCGTTCAGCCAATGGTTACGTCTACTCGGAGTATTAGAGAGGAGTTTACTGAGGATCAACTTGTAATCATTTTCCGCTCATTTGATTGTTGGCGCAAAGAAAATAATTCTCCGTTTTTTGTCTTGAAATCACAACCGTCGCCTGATGTCCTTCCGTTGTCATGTTTTGAATTGACTCCTTATGTATATGTTGGTATGTGTGATTCTTCTGTAGACTCACAGTCACCTTGTTGGCTATTACGCAACCTTTTATACGCCCTGTCTTCTACCATCATTCAAACAGAATGTTCTCTAAGGATTTTATGTCTCAGGGATCGGTTTGCTTCAGGAGAAAGATTTTGGGAGCATAGCATCGTCATACACATTAATATACAACCCACAAATCCGATATTTACTCAGTTTGTTGGCTGGGAAAAATGGAAAAACAAACTGAGACCACGTGTAGTAGATCTTAGTGCAAGTATGGACCCAGTTAAACTAGCTGAATCGGCAGTAGATTTAAACTTAAAACTAATGAAGTGGAGGCTAATGCCGGACCTAAAACTGTCAGTTTTTCGCGATACGAAGTGCTTGTTGATAGGAGCTGGTACTCTTGGTTGTAATGTCGCTCGTCAGTTATTGGCCTGGGGTGTTCGTCATATTACCCTAATAGACAACAGCACAGTTTCCTTTTCAAATCCTGTACGGCAGTCGTTGTATGTCTTTTCTGACTGCGTGGGCTCTGCTAAAAACAAGGCAGTTGTTGCGGCCGAGGCGCTCCAAACAATTTTTCCTGGGGTAAATGCTCGCGGTTTTGACCTTAGCATTCCAATGCCCGGACATCCTGTATCTTCTTATAATCGATCTCAACATCCACAATTTTCCGAATTGGAGCAGTCTGCAGAAGATACTTGTTTCAAATTAAGTGCTTTGGTTCACGAACACGATGTTATATTCCTACTAACAGATACTCGAGAATCACGCTGGTTACCCACAGTTTTGGCGACTGCTCATGGAAAACTGGCAATAAATGCTGCTTTGGGTTTTGATACATTTCTTGTTATGCGTCATGGTGTACGAGGTCCCTTTGAGTCCCCAAGTTCAAATGTAGATAGTCTTACTCCACATGTTTCTTCCCTCAATTTCGACGAAGCGATTCCCAACAATGAAAATTCTTTCAAAAAGACAAGGGTCATAAGTGGTTCTTTTCTGGGTTGCTATTTCTGCAATGATGTAATTGGACCTATGAATTCGACACGCAACCGCAGTCTCGACCAACAATGTACAGTTACTCGGCCGGGAGTATCTATGGTCGCAGCTGCTCTCGCTGTTGAGCTGATGATCAGTGTACTTCAACATCCACTCCTCTATGAGGCTCCAGCAGATACACTATCTCAAGAGTTTTCCAGCTTGGATTCAACTAAACTGTCTCTCGGTGTTGTTCCCCATCAAATAAGGGGCTTTCTTTCTCATTACACACAGGTTTTGCCTGCAACATCGGCATTCACCAAGTGCTCTGCATGTTCTCAGTCTGTACTGGACGCTTACAAGGACAATGGGTATAACTTTTTACAACAGGTATTTAATGACGCTTCTTATCTTGAAAGAATATGCGGCTTACAGAATCTTCATGATGAAATTAACGCTGAATCAATTTTTATGCTAAGTGACGCTGATGACTGATACTTATTTGTCTGAGTTCGTCTTTTCTTAATTTATGAAGAGTTGAAATCATGTTAATCAAGATTATGTCTTATTAGTTTTTATCTCAATGAACACTTTACTTCTCTATAATTCAGTAACTTTTGTGAATATATTGAGATACCAACTTTGACTTTTTGATACGAGTGCTGTTTCATTCAGTAAGTACTACATGTCATCTGTTTTTTCTGCCCTAGTTCTTGAGTTATTTCTCTTAAGAATTTACACAAACTTCCGAGCAGTGACATGGTTTAGACAATTTTCATTTTCTTACCGTTGAATTACAATTCATACTACTTGCACTTTGATTTGGACGGCCTTCTTTACCCCTAATAGCCGAATTTGTATGTGGTTGTGTAGATGGATTATCATTTGTATGAGTTTACGCCTTTTCGGCTTTCTACTTTCTTGTTGTGTAGTGTTGAATGTAAAGTTGAACAATCATTCAGTAGACTTCTGAGATACTTATACAATTGTAAAGTGGTCTACAGTTATGACTACACCATTTGAACATTAAAATAATTTTAAGATATGCGAATAAAAATGATATAAGCGGTTTTTAACACAATCTAGGTTTAAAGAAGTATAAAAATAGCACGAGAAAACTATTTAATCTGCTTATTCCAAAATCCCAATGCTTATCAATCTTTGAATTTTGTAATCCCTTCAGAGTTGAGTGACGTAACTCAACATATTTAAAATTCAAGAGGTCTGAACTGTCATTGTCACATTTTTTAGCAGTAGTTTTACATCTACTTGTATTGTGAAGTTCATCCTCCACTACATAAAAGTAAATTAGGTTTATTATTCAGTTCGAATCATTTCCATTTTTAATTTGACTTTCGTAATTAGTGATACAGTATTATGGAATGTTCGCACAATTTTCTCCTTTCTTCAGCCGAGCCACCGACACTTCACTCATAAATTGTCAGAAGTGTTTAGAGAAAGGTCACTGGACTTATCAATGTACAAACCAGCGGAAGTATCTCAAACGCGAATCATACACCAGTATACTGGTGAAAAAGCTTGAAACTCAGAAAAAGTCAAAGATTCAAAAGTACGTCTAAAGCATATAACCTAGTTTTGTTCCTACAGAAAAACAAACACTAAATCATCATCCTCAAGCTCTAGTTCGTCCTCTGATTCTTCGACTTCAAGTTCTGGGGACGACTCTGATGATGGGGAATCTAGCTCAGAATGTAGTTCAAGCAGTAACGGAAGTTCTAGCGACGACTCATCTTCCAGTACTTCCTCATGTTGCGAAAGCAGCCGGTCTTCTTCCTCCACAAGTTTAAAGCGCATAAAGGAATGATCGTAATGTTACTGAAATTGTACAGTTATTATAATATATTTTAAATATCTGTAGCTTTCTCACAACGAGAAAAGTGTGTTAAATCGTTTACCAGGGCGTTGGTATAATGGATTAACATAATTAAAATAATGGGTTTGATAATTGTTATTGATCAGGATTGTTGACTGACATCTGGTGTTCAGAAGGAATCTGGACTACGTATCATCGTCCTGATCGCATTCTATTGGCTAGGGAAATTGTTCATTATGTCTCTACAATATAAGGAAAGTTATCTGGATATTCGTCAGACTGAAAGTAGCTGGGGTAATAATATATGTCATATTGTGGTTAGTGAAAATATTGTCAAACAAGACAAAAGTCGATCACTTACATTGGTTCAACTGGATTTTAGGAATTAGTTTTTAAATAAACTCCATACACTCCTTTAGGCAAAAATAAGAAAGATTGCTTCAGCATAGGGTTCCCTCAGAGAATTAAAATTAGTCTTCAAACTAAAGAGATCAGTTTCTGTGGTTTGGAGATAATTCATTCAAAATAATCTACACCGTTGATTACATCACCTAACGACTTCAAATATCATGTCATTAATAGTTGAGAGTTAGTTGCTATATACATGGAGTTTGTGGTATTTAGGCCTTTAATTACACTAAAGATAAACATTATAGAACTGGGTGAGTGTTAAACTTAATTGAAAACATGTCAGCCACATCTTCATTCTATATAGTGCTTTAGAACAATTATTTGTGGCACCTTATATAACACTTCAGTTACTTAAAGGAAGTCCTTAACTTCATAAAGTTTTGTGGCTCATCCTAAGAGATATGTTAAGACACTGGAAATTTAAGTAGGATGACACACTCAGGTATAAGTTTTTCAATAGTTCTCTAAAAATTAAGCGACTGCTGACACTTACCAAAGATGTTCTTTACTATACTTCCAGTCGTGTTGGAAGATATAGGTATCTGGATTGCGTTTCGTGTAGTCATTATAATTTATGATTGAGGATCTTGAATGACATGGCTGAAAATTAGTGGCGGTGACACAGTGGAATTCATTACAGATATTCTGTATCCCGAGCTTAGTATCATCCCTTTCAAAAGTTTCTGTCCCTTCCACACTTCTCTATGCTTCGTTCTACACTGTATGTTCATACCAGGCACTCAATTTATAACGTGATACTGTAAAAACAAAAAATAGTTGTGTTCGTATGTGCCAATTTTCCAGATATCATCTTAAAAGTCATGCTGCTTCGTTGGTCTGGACGTAATATCTAAGATTTATCCTTTTTCTACTTCGTTTCTATATCGTCATGTTAAGCTGACATGGTAACTTGAGCCAACGCATAGCTGTCCCAGGCTTCGTGTTGGCGATGTCTGAATGTCTTAAATCTTATTGGATAAAGCTTTCTGTTCCCACTTTGAGCAGACATTATACATAAAAACTAAGGTTTCTACGATGAATATCAATGTTTTCGTAATCTTTCTGTTCAGGATGGCGTTTGTGGAGATTGTAATAATTTTAATAGTTGAATTCATGATTCGATGTAAGCTAGACCACCCATGAAAACCTGGAAGCACTGGACGGCCTTTTCGTTCTAGTATGGGACTCTTCAGTTGTGCGTATCCATGGTCCCACGCGCAAGAATCGAACCCATGATCTTTGGTCTGGCGTGCGAACACTAGTGACTAGATTCAAGATAAATTTCCTGGAGTTCTCGTAAGAAGCCTTGATCGGTGAAACCCGATTCGTGTAGGATGTGAGAGAGCCATCCACCTGAAGCAGTAGATCAAGGGTTGAGCAATATCATGGATTAATCAAAGTTAGACATTAACACCGTTGGATGTCGGCTCAGTGGTCTGGAGGCTAAGAGTCCGCGCACGAGACCGAAGGTCCTGGGTTCGAATCCCGCGTGCGGGGTTGTGGATGTTCACAGCTGAGTCCCATACTAGGACGAAACAACCGTTCACTGCTTCCAGGTTTTCATTTGTGGTCTGGCTTACATCGACTCATGAATTTAACTATTAGTTTTCGTAATCATGTAAATTATAAATTATGGAGAAGGTTGACAAAGTTGAGCATATGGTTGCAATCATTTTTGTGATAGGAAACCCGTGTCAGTAAAGCAACTTGAGTTAACTTAACGACTTATTTTTCATATGCTTTATTTCCTGTCCAGTCTTTTTGTAACGTACTTTCGGATAATTTTGAACTTGTATTGTTTTCTTGTAGGTTCAGTTAGCTAAAATCACTCTTCGTTGTTTAAACGAGAATGATATGTGTTTGACGTTTGTTGACTAATCGGCCAATGAGATATGCATTGTGCTTAAATAGGTAATTCTAAAGTTTATCATTCGAGTCATATATACTTTGTTCATTCACTACATATAGTCTCTTGAAACGAAGTCTTCATTAGCTTGGGTTCATCGGAATCAGTCAACCAGTCAGTAACAACGTAGAACTTCGTACGTACGTACATCAGTTCGAGTTGCCATACTGAAGTGCCGTTTTTTAAAACAGGTTGTAATCACACAAATTTTTCCTCTATTTTTATGAATGCAAGTTATATGTAAAGTGCAATTCATTTCATAATGGTCAATGCACTACCACCTGCTTCGGTTTGGGCACCCGGGCAGTATCACAGCCCTCACACAAATCAATTGAGATTCGTGTGGCGCATATGTACTTGGTGCCTCCCTGTACCTATACTTTTGTGTTAAAATAAATAATAAATAAATACAATGCACTACCACTTGCAAACTTTACAGTGAAATAGGTAGTATACCACGACTATCAGCGTTAGCATTTTAGGCTCATTGTTTTTTTCTAAATTGGTGTTATGACAAGGAAACATTGTTACAGTACTGTCAAGTTGCTTGCTGTGGTTCATTTTGCCAGATTTCTTACTTTGCATTCAATTCGCGAACCCATTCATTAGCATTTAAGATCTTATACTATTTTCAGTTAGTGAATCGTCTTTTGCCGAATAAACCACTCGGATTAATTTATCGGGCATTGGTTGATATATCCATTGTTGGTGATAAAGACACTACCTAATACTAAGGTATAAACTTATATCAGTATCTAATCCTGAGTTTTAGAGTGATATTTTAGTAAGTTGAGCATCGACAGCATACAAGAACAACCGGTACTTTACAGTTTTACTTGAATGAATCCTTCTAAAACAGAATACAAGAAACCGATTTCGGATACAAGCGTATCAATCATTTTTGATTAACTGAATTCGATGTTTATAATCGGTATTTCAAAACTTAGTAAATTTTCGTGGTGTAGTATAAGTCTTCACTGGAAAAATATTTATTGGTAGTTATAGTCACTGTCCTGTATGGTTACATCCAAGACTGCTGTTTATGCACACTAATTTGTAATAAATCATAATGATCTTTGCGTATGTTGATTGCTATCAACACGAAGTATGGTTGTTATTGTTGTTGTGTATCAAATGTATGTACCGACATTGTCCGTTACTATTACTCAGTTTTAGTTTTAACCTATGTTTATAAAAGTTCATCAGTTGTTTAAAAATATTCTATTGAACTTTGTAGATAAGTTTCATTTTTATTAAGGCTAACCACACGAATCTTTCCCTATGAGATGTGGAGCAGTGTTGAATAATATTTACTTAATAATATTTCGCTTATAAATAAACTAAACAAATCTAGGTTTGCCGACTGACCAATTGAAAGAACTATTGTTACATTTTACCTTTAATATCCAGTTCAGTCTCAACAATGAAATATACAGACAAAGAGATGGGATCACAATGAGGTCTCCATTGAGTTCAATCTTAATAGACTGCTTCATAGCAAAACTGGAAAACGACCGTAGCTGCTACCTTGACGTGGTGGTCGGGCTCACCTATCGTGATGACTCAACCAAGCTATATTGGCTGGAACACATGTTCCTGCAGGTTCTGCCATGCCAGGCTGGTCGATTGGAGAACGGTAAGACTAAAATCAGCAACTCAAGGTCTGAGGGCGAAGTCGTACTTCTGACTGTACAGAGGTGTGACAGCAGTAAGGCGTTCCCCTCGGACAACCAGCATCTGAAGCGATGATGCCTTCTCACAAGGAAGGAAGAGGTTAGAAAAGGTTGACCCTAAAAATGTTACACCTCACCTTACCCCACGGATTTCCGTCTCCGGCGGTAAGGCCCTTTGAAGAACGGAGCTAACACATTGAAAACTTCCCACAAAAAGGCTGTGCGCGACCGGCCTCAAGCAGTTGTCCCTTGGGCTCTGCGGTCACGCTCCCAGGTCTTTAAGACCAATACTAATCCGATTTGCTTTTCAGGTCCCTCAAGAAATACCCTTCCACGGTGTGGGCAGCCGGGAAGTGACATCAGCCCTCATACCCGTAACAACATACGAGGCCAAGTTGGTCACATTCAAATCCCTCCTACACCTCCTAATAACTCTCTTATCTCCACTTTCTCCTTTTTTGTTTAACTTTATCATAGACATCCTGATGGAAATAACGCTCTCATCGACTGACTTCTCGGGTATTGATCTCCTACCAGGAGATCCACTTATTGACTTAGAATACGCAGATGACATAGTCCTGTTTGGTGAAGACGCTGATGAAATGCAGTCTTTTGGTAGCACTGAGCAACAATGCTAGAATGTTTGGGATGCGCTTTTCTCCCTCTAAATGCAAGTTGTTGCTTCAGGACTGGTCTGCATCAACACCTGAACTAAGGATAGGGGGTGAAGTAGTCGAACGCGTTGACAACTTCACTTATCTTGGAAGTCTGATCAGCCCTAATGGGTTGGTGTCTGACGAAATCTCAGCACGGATTCGAAAAGCTCGCTTGGCCTTTGCCAACTTACGTCATCTATGGCGTAGGCGAGATATCCGTCTATCAATTAAGGGACGAGTATACTGCGCGGCGGTTCGTTCCGTTCTACTATACGGCTGCGAAACATGGCCTTTAAGAGTGGAAGATATTCGTAAGTTACTAGTATTTGACCACAGGTGCCTTAGAAATATTGCGGGTATCTGCTGGGATCACCGGGTAAGTAATAGTGAGGTTAGACGCAGGGTACTAGGGAATGAT